CATATTAATAATTTCCAGGAGAAAATAAACGGCCATTCGGTCGATTTTCAAAGAGATGTCACAAATATATCGAAAAAGAAGTCGCTGTTAAAGGTGGACAGTCCAGGATCGAAAAGCCTGTTGCCGTTTGGGTGCATCCCAGTAAAATTATTAACATGAGGACCCCCGCATCCATTCTCCGAGAGATCTAAGTAGTGTTTGAGAAAAATGTGAGTAAGATCAAGCATTGCGCACAGCGAACACAAGAATGGAAGGGAGGGCAAAATTTCGTTTAAAATCGTGAAAAGTTAACAATCCGGACAAAATTTTTGCCTGATTGATTCAAATCAGTTTATGATGGATGAGAAAAAAGTAAAGAAAGTTCCAATAAACACATGGAAATATTCATAACAACCGGAATTATGCGGTAAAACCAAGTTCACAGCTGTCTTCATGTTTACTGGAAAAGCTGGTGGTGTAAAAGGAGAGAAAAAACAACTGCATTTTTTAAGAAGCCGACAAAAAAATGATAAACTTGGTGAAAATCTCTGTTTTCTTCCATTTTTTCTTTGACAATTTAAGTAAAAAAGAGGTTATTATCAGAATTTATCACTAAAAAAACTAACTCATCATGCACACCCCAAAAAAACAGTTTTTCCGAGAAAACTATAAAAAAGTTCGAGAATTATAAAAATAATGAAAAAAACCAATTTTTTTTTTTAAAATAGTTCAAAAGAAATGTAAAATTGTGATTCACTGGAAGCTTAAGGGAGAAAGAGAAACATTGGAACTTGTTTCGCTTGGAAAAGAGGAAATCAAAGAAAATTTAGCTGCGCCGCGGAAAAAAACCTGATTCGGCAGCACGAACAGCACGATGCCGTGCAAATTCCAGCGAGCGAAACCATTCGTTATGATCCAATTCATTTTGCGCTTTCAGATGGAATGTCTGTGATGGGGCCGAAATCGTCAAACTATTCGTTGTTTTATCGGCATGTATACGTGCCTCTTGCAGATTGATACTGCCACGACATGACTGGCCCACTTCCAGTGAATTTCTAAAAAAAAAAAATATAAAAATTCACCCATTTTTGGAATGCATGGAACAACTGAACTTTATTAGCCTTTTTGCTCCAACTATGCAGATGACAACTTTTCCAAGTTGCCCCGACCAGTGGTCAGCCTGCTGGCGATCCCGATGTCCGATTCATCATCTTAAGAAACAGCTAGCTCAGCTTTAGAAAAGCAGACTACAAAGTTTTTGTCATCCTGAGGTTTTTTTCTTAAATTGTGCTGAGAATTACCACCCCATCTCCAACACACTATCAGACTGTTTTCCTCGGTCTTGGGGCAAATCGCTGAAATCCAGGAAAATCCGAGAACAACGATGAGAAGTACCCTATATCTCACGACTAGAAATTGCCCAAATTATAGCTGTAGAATGCAAGCAAGAGGTATATAGTATATGCAACACATATAATTGAAACATTTGAAGTAGTGCTGTTTCCGCACAGCAAATCAAGGGGCAATCAATCTGTCTATGATTTTTTTATTGAAACAATCAATCTTTCTACGATTTGTTCATTCGTTTCGATGGTAAATTGGTACTGACATATGCCAAAGGAGTCAAAACCGCCATTTACTTGCTTGTAACTTTCAAAAGGACAGGTCTATCGATTGCCTTGCAAAATGGATGGTTGCTGTTGGCATTTGCTATCACTCTGGCTACTTCTCGAGTGCCTCTGTTTCTCACAGGAAGCAAATACCGAGAGGGTTTTGAGTTTTGACATAATAAAAACTGCAAAATAAAAAAAAAAAGAAACGAGAAGAGGTGGCAAAGAAAAACAAGTCCGGCTCTAAATTGCTGCTGTATCTCATCAAGACATCGACAGCTTTACACTGATAAAGCAAGCAATCGCAGCTG